CTCTATTTTACTACTTGGTGTCTGGGTAAGAAAGGGAATTGAAATTCAGAAAGATACCTCAAATCAAATGAAGACATTGTGGACCAATTTTTCCTACTTCAAATGTTGCCTTAGTGTTCATTTTAGAAACAGCCATGTGTCTCTTTACTTTAAGGATATTGTTGCCAGGTTAGGAACTCCAAAGGACTGTGGGACATTTCTGCCTACAGATCGTCTTTGGAAAAACTGGATTTTTGTCTGAATTATATGCATGGCTGCTATGTGGCTGTGACTGCAAATAAGGAGATCATTCACTGTGTAAGTTATCGGTTGCTCTGTAAATAATTATCATAAGCTTAAAGTCTTAAAACAACAAATTCTTATTATCTCAGTTTCTGTGGGATGGAGGTTTAACATGGCTTAGCTGGGTACTCCACATAGGGTCTCACAGGGCTGCAATTAAGTTGTCAGCTGGGCTGTATTCTCATCTGGAGGCTTGACTGGGGAAGAATCTGCTTCCAGGCTTACTCAAGTTGTATTTACATATTCCTTTTCTATCTCAGTATCATCATTCTATGGCCATTTTTGGACAAGTCCCAGACTGTTTGTGACTTCATCATCCCTTTAACTCCCCAAGTTTACAGCCATTTGATCCTCTTCTGCAGGTGCAACCATAGTCCCAATTTCCTGAACCAAAACTAAACCCAGAGGCACAAAAAAACAAACCAAACGCATTGTCATTGAGTAGGATCCGATTCATAGAGACCCCTCCTTGGGTTTCTGAGGCGGTATCACTACAGAAGTAGATTGCCCAACCCTCCTTCTGAGGAGTGGCTGGTGGGTTTGAACCATCAGCCTTCTGGTTAGCAGTCAAATGCCTTAGGCACTAGGCCACCAGAGCACCTAACCAGAGGTAGGAAGCTTTGAGATACCACTGCACTTCTTTCTGAGAATACTCATCAATTTATGTTAGTGCTGATCTTGTTGCCCTGCTGGTCTTGTTGGTGTTATTGCAAACCTGTTCAATAGTCTTTGCCTACATGTTGGGTAACTTGTTTTCTGTTGTAGTCCCTGCTTTGAGATGCTTATTCTGATACTAAGCAAGCTGTGATCTGTCTACTCCTCAGATTTATGCTGTCCCACCTCGTCCTTTTCTTATTACTTGAGGCTTTGTTCCTGAATTAAGGTTTGGAACCTTCCTAATTACTGGTACCCAACACCCCCCCCCCCCAAGTGCCAACTGCTTTCATCCCCACCTAGAATTTCCAGGATGGCTCACCTTCGACTGTGTTCCTCTCATCAACTGGGATCTCCACTGACTCATTTTCTTGACTATATGATGACTAGTTTCTCTTTATACTCATTTTGGACATGTGATTTGCCCACTATATTGTAATTCCTTGTCAGTACCTGCATCTAGAATAGTTTCCTGACTTGTTTCCAGTTCCAGTCTCTGATTTTGAACATATTTTGATTCAACACGAACTGCTCTAAGAAACTGGTCATGCCAAGATCAATTCTGTGTCAGAAGTTAATCTTATGTGTGAAGAAAAGAGGGATATTTGGTTTTCCATAGGTAAAGAAATTGAAGGTTGGTGACAATTGGAAGCAATGTGAGCACAGGCATAGTATTAGAAATTTACAAAGATCAAGAAAGATCAAGAAATATCTCTCTTGTGTGTCTCCTCCTGTCTATTCTGTCACTACTCTGTAATAGACCTTTATTTTTAGCTCTCTAGGCATGGCATAAAGGAGCTCTGATGGTATAGTGGTTAAGGCATTTGGCTGCTAACCAGAAGGTTGGTGGTTCAAACCCACCAGCTGCTCCACAGAAGAAAGATGAAGTGGTCGCTTCTGTGAAGATTTACGGCCTTGGAAACCCAGTGGGGATAACTATGAGTCAGAATTGACTCAATGGCTGAATTTGGTTTGGTTTGAAAAATGGCACAGGATATTGCAACTGAGGGAATGTGAGCAAAACAAAAAAGTCTGTGAGCAAAACAAAAAGTCAAGATGATTGAGGTGTCAAGATTAAGAAATAATAAGGTGATGTTGTTATTGGAACCGCAGAACACTGAAGAATAACTGTGGGTAGATCATATAATATTGAAGGAATAGTAGTATCATAAGAATCAGATTTCCCCTATCTTCAGCTTCTGTTCCCAAGTAAATAATTCCATTTAACGTTGTTGAATCTAATAGCTCTGCACAGACAAAAAATCAAGTGAACTCAAAACTTCTGCAGCAGAAGGAGAGACAGAAGTAGGGGTTAAGTGAGTGAAGAAGGAAAGCATTAAGATGATATAATGCAGAACCACAGTAAAAGGTTGAACTGGTCCAGGTCACCTACAAGCTACTGGGAGATCAGGGAAGGCAGAGTAGTCTAAAGAGCAGTTTTTCAACAGATACACTCACACATATGAAATGACATATGCAAAGAAATATTAAGTGCAGAATTGTTTTTTAAAGCAAAACATTGACAACTCAGATGTGCATTAATAAGGAATTGGTTAAATAAATTACAGATTCATACATTGGAAAACTATGTAATTATTCAATAGAATGAGGCAGCTCTCTGTTACTGATACAGAACAATCTCCAAGATAAATGAAGTGAGAAAAAGTGAAGTGTGGAATAATATGTAAAGTATGCTACATTTTTTATTTTAAAAAGAAAGACTTCATAGACATGCTCATAAGTGCATACAATAGATGGAAAGAATTTAAAGAAATTAAATTAATAGCCATAGCCATTTCTCTGGGAGAGAAAACTGGGTGATTAAGATGAGATGGAAAGGAGAAAAACTTTTTACTAAATAAATACTATTTCCTTCCTTTTGGATTTTAGTCCATTTGTATGTATTTATAATTTAGAAAAAAACTAATGTAAAATTCTTAAAGAAATGTTTTGTTTGCAAGGAAGATAGCCCTTTGTGTTTATGATAAGTGCTTTCTCATAAATATTTCTAAGTCTCCTCCAAATCACATGACAAGATATCATTTGCCTATGTTTAAAGTTAGGTGAGACAATGTAATTTTCTTTGGAGAGTGACATGTGGACAAAACAATGTTTGTTATATACAGGCAGAAGTTTTAGGAGTCAGTGTGCAATTTACCAATCTTTCCTGCTGCCACAATGAAGAACAGGGCTCAAACTGGTAACTGTTTCATCAGCCTGGGTATGGATGTGAGGACAACTTGGAATAGAGATCCCAACTGAATACCATAATGACCTTTTAATATTAAGCTGGTGAAATGTGGATGTTGTTTATGACCACAGCATAATGGCTCTCATCTGACAGACATATTGTTTTTACAGGGCTTAGTCCTGAGCCATTTTGTCTCGGCAGTGTCTCCCCATATATCCTCATCTACTCCCATGACATGGCGGATGCTCCAAACACCCATAGTTTTATCTACCCTGTTTTGAGTTCCACTCTCCTTTCATTAATGACCTATAGATTTTAATACATCTGACAGACCTTGAATGAATGGATTCTGTCTACCTGTCTAATATCTTGCTCCAAAACCACACTAGTCAGGTACCTCACTTATTAACCTCCAATCAAAATTGCCTTCTTCAGTTTCTTGAGTATGCCAAGATATTTTCACCTCTACCCTATTTTCTGTTTTTTCTTCCTAGAATGCTCTCTCTCCTCCTCCTCCATCCACTTTCCTAATATAAACACTTTTTTGTTCATTATTGTTCCCTCAATCTTTACTGGTTAGCCCCCACATAAGATTATTCTTCTTTACCTTTCTGTCATTTGCTTAATAATATGTTTATAACTTGTTGCTCCCTATGAATTTGTGTGTTTTATTGTTTGATTTGTTTCTCCCATCAGACAAATCTCAACGGGGTTGGATTGAATGTGCTTTCCTCACTGCTCTGTATCTTGCATAAATGACAGCACCTGGTATTTAAGTGACTTTATCAAAGAAACAGAAATTGTGTCAGCTCTGATGTGAGACATATAATTTCTTGGTGCTAGTTCTATCATAGGATTGGCCTTTGCACAAGAACACTTTCTTATTTACTAGAAATTGCCAGGTGCAGAATTATAAGAAGAGAATATTTTATTGAAAAAGTGAGGAAGGCATGAGAAATTTGCTCACTAAGGCAGGGCAGGGCCAGAAGCATCAAGGAAGAAACAGTTGAGTTAAAAATGAGGCAACTAGACCCCAAACTAGTTTTGTTCCACCACCTGTAAAACTATGTAGACTAGATAACATGCTGGATTTCAAAACTCCAACATTGTAGAATTCTGTTTCCTAATTTTGCCCAGAAACAGCCCTACAGCAAAACTATTGACCTTGCTGCACTTCTTTCCTTAGGTGTTTAAAACACTTACAATACTTAGGAGGTAAAAATAAAATCCTACTGGGAGCTCTGGTGGCATAGTGCCTAAGGCATTTGACTGCTAACCAGAAGGGTGGTAGTTCAAACGCACAAGCCACTCCTCAGAAGGAAGGTTGGGCTATCTACTTCCATAGAGATACCACCTCGGAACTCAAGAAGGGGTCGCTATGAGTCGGATCTGACTCAACAGCAGTGAGTTTGTTGTTTATTTTGGTTTGACAGGGGAGAAGATGGGAAAGGGCAAGTGATAGCCATTGGTCCCATTCAAGGAGTGCATGATACTACTACATCTACCAACAGAGCATCTGTCAAAAGTTCAGTCCACAACATGGTCCTTGTAGTGAAGAACTATTCTAGAAAGGAAGGAACATGCTAAAGGTAAAAATATTTATTAAATAATAAATACAACACCCATTCAACATATATTCTCTTGACAGATGCACATAAATATTTCCTACTTCTATTCAGTGTAATCTGAGGAACTGAAGCAGTTCAGATAAATGTTTCATGATGCAGAAGATGTCAATCCAAAACTTGGAATAGTATCTCATCTTCTTTGGCCATTGAACATTCAGGAGCAATGAATTATTTTGACTCATAATAAATTATGTGAATAATGGATTTAGTTAAAGAGCCTATGTCTTGTCTTCTCCATATCTTGCCTAACAGTGTAACCAGCTGTTACTCTTCAATACATGTGTCACCATCTTGGCATTAGGATCAAACTCAAACTGTAATGATCCACTGAAGAAATAAAAAAATCCTGCAAATATAGACAAGGAAAGTAATGAGACATTCTTCAAGCAAATAAATTTTGCAAGATGCATAACTCAGAATAAAAGTGAGCTAATAATGGGTGCCATTTATCAAGTGGTTGCTCTGTGCTGCACTGTTTTATATGCTTTATCTCATTTACTATGACAAATAAAATGTAAGGTTTTAGTAATGAGCAAGAAAAACCCCAAAAACTGGAGGAATGAAAAGAACCGGAGACATATGGAAATGGTTCTGGGTGACTGGTACACCATGCATTCCCTGGCCTGTACGACTATGGGGCTGGAGGAGCTGGACGGTGCCCAGCTGCTGCTGTCAGCCACTCAGAGGGGGATCTCTGTAGGAGATCCTGGATAGTGTGGGAGAACAATGTGGAACAAAACTCAAAATCATTAAAAAAAAAAGGACCAGTTTTGCTGGTCTGATAGAGCCTGATGTAGCCACTGAGACTATGGCCCCTAGCTGTCCTTCAGGTCTAGAATTGAACCCACTCCTGTGGCTTCCAGCCAAACAAAAGACTGGTATATGAGCTGAATATTCACATTAGGTAGATACACTCCTTGGCAAGAACAATCATGGGAGAATAAAAGGGCTGTGTATGCACAGGGAGACAGCTCAGGGGCCAGGAGTGCATGGAGGGAAGGACACAGGGAAGAGATAACTATGGGGAGGAAGTAGGAGGCAAGCTGTTGAATTGTAGTAAATTGTAGTCAATGTCATGAGACAAAGTGTATGTGAACTGCTGTATGGAAAGTGAATTTGCTCTGTAAACTTTCACCCAAATCACAATTTAAAAAATAACATTAATTTAAAAAAAAAAAAAGAAAACTAAGGAGGCTTTGGGATTTTTCCCAAGGAAATACTACCAATAAAAGATGATGGGAGAACTCCATCCCATCACTGTCTGATTTCAAAACCAATGTCTCCAAATAGATAAGATTATATAATATTTTGAAACCTTGGTTTATCTTTCTCCTTCTTCTAGCACTTTCTTCCTCCACCAGTTCTAAATCACAGCTTAGGAGACAATTGAACCTGAGAGAATCAGACTAATGATAAATACAATAGAAGACCATTTCCTGCTTCGTATACATTTTGGTCAAGCTAGTTTAGCACTAAGATTATCAGCTTCCTGAGTGTTATGATTGTCATGCCTTGCCATCTCCTTCCAAAATTTTTTTCAGAGAAAGCAACACCAAATTTTTCTTCCCATATACTCATTACAAAGAATCACATCTTGTCTATGTTGAATAGACAGGAGGATGACTATTTACTTACAGATGACCATTGTAGACAATTGCATAGTGTAACAGAAGTCCAGAGAAGTTCTCTCGGGATGAAGTAGGAGAGAAAAAGCAACAGGAGGAAATAGTGGTGAAAGGCAGCTAGCCATTGTTAAGCTCACTTGAGTCTGTTTTTTAAACCACTATGCATATAAGAAAACGGTTACACTTTGAGGGATTATCCTTTGATTTTACATGCAGGTATGAAATAAAGACTTGTAGAAATTAAATGGCAAACTCAGGAAAAATACAAATTCCACCTGCATATGTTTTTGGTAGTTTGGAAGGGAAAGAATACAAAACTGAATGATTTGAAAATTGTTTTTACTTTCCACTTTATCTTAATGCCATAAAATGCCCACAGGTGCCCCCCTTTGACCATTACAGGAATGTCCTCTTACCAAATGCCTGTAATACAGCATCAACCTTTGGCTCAACTCCTGGAAAGTCATCAACTATTAGTCTGGGGAAGCCTTGCTCCATGGACTGGCTATTTTCATCAAATCTGTACCAAAATGAATACAGCTCAGCATTGTGAAGTATCTCTATTACATAGACCAGTAAAATGTAACATTAAAGTTCCAGTGTGAATCCTGGATAAACTTTTCAAGTAGTAGATAGGGCTACAAAGAATATGACTTTCCTTGGCTTACAAGTACAGCATAAAAAACAAAACTAGAAAAATAAACTCACTGCTCTCGAATCATTTCCAACTCATGGCGAACTCTCCTTGGGTTTCCGAGGTGGTATCTCTATGGAAGTAAATTGTCCAAACTTCCTTCCAAGGAGTGGCTGGTGGGTTTGAACCACCAACCTTTTGGTTAGCAGTCAAATGCCTTAAGCACTATGTCACCAGAACTCCTAAATTGAGCATATGCAACAATATTTCCTTAGAGACAGGGACATCATACTATTCTAGAGAGGTTCCATGTGTGTGTCTGAAGTCAGCTTTCTAAGCCTGGACACATAAAACCCAAGTTTCTTTCTGTATATATGAGGGCTATATACACATAGGATGTAAAGTGAATTAAATTATTTGGCTAAAAATAAACTTCTGGTTTCCTACCACATTGGGCCCCTGAGATCTTGTCTTTAGAGCCTGCTACCCATGGGCAGCCTCAAGTGACTGGCAGCAGGATGAGAAACAAATGTGAGTTTGGTCTGCAATTTTGACCTCAGTTGGCCTCTTCAGATGTATTTTGGTGCCTGGGTACCTGGCCCAGTGATCAGCCTTGGTGAGAGCCCTTTGATGTATCTGTTGTTGTTGTTGTTATGTGCTGTTGAGTCGGACCCGACTCATAGCAACCCCTCCTTGGGTTTCCGAAGTAGTATCACTACGGAAGTAGATTGCCCCATCTTCCTTCCGAGGAGTGGCTGGTGGGTTTGAACCACCAGCCTTCTGGTTAGCAGTCAAGTGCCTTAGGCACTATGCTACCAGAGCTCCCTTGATGTATCTGGGAAGTCAAACAACTATTAGTTCCTTCTTCATAATCAGAAAGTTTGGAGTTAGAGGAATTTAGAAAGTAGGTTTGGGGAATTTACTTAGAGAAGGAAAAAAAAATTCCCTAATTAGACTACCTACAAAGTCTTTCCTATTTCATCTTACCTCCAGTATGTATCCTTTACAAAGAAGTATGTTTTCCTCTTTTCCTTATCAGAAACAGCTGCATCAATTTTCCTTATGGTTGGAGGAAAGCCCAAGGTGTGGATAGCTCTTGGATAACCTGCTTGTATCTCATTTCCTCTGGTGGCCCAGAATTTATTTCCTATTGAAAAAATATAACCCAAGAAATTTCCATTGAAGACTTTGGTTTTAGAAATAGCTTTAGTACATGATTGTAGTAAAGATGAAGCCTTGGTTTTATCTAATCACAAAGCCATTGCCCTGTTCATAGTAGGCATTTAATAAATATTCCTTGAATCAATTAATGAATGAATTGAATAGACCTTTATGTGTCTTATAATAATTATCTATAAAATTTAGTTATCAGTCTTAGTTTTTTCTTACAATTGTTGATAAATTTTTAATCTGAATTTATAAACTAGACCTCTCTCCAAAGCTTCACATCCATAGGTCAATTGCTTACTGGACATTTGCTCTTGGATATGTCATAGCCACCAAGTCCAACCTAGGATTCTTCTAAATACCTCTGTGATCCATCCAAGTTTAAGTGAATCAAGATGATGGTCTCCTATCAGTCTGTTGTTGTCTTCTCTTTCTTCCTCCTCAAATGTGAATCCCTTCCGCACACCTCTTGCCAGAATAACTAACATAAAATGCCAACCTATTGTCTCTCTCTTGCTGCATCGGAACTGAATGACTTGTATTCATCTCAGCAGTTCCAGATACTCTCTTACTTTTGCATAAACAGTTCCTTTTGTCTTGAAGAAATTTCCTCTTTGCATGCCCAGCCTTTCTCCATAAAGCAAAGTTCTTTTCTTTCAAGATTCATCCTAAACATAATCTCCACTCAGAGACCTTGGCTGAACCTCAAGTTCCTCTGTGTTCCCATAGACTCTAGCTTCTCTCAATCCTAGCATTTGTCGTACGGTGTGTTGATCACTTCCTCTCTGCTTTCCACCCTAGAACAAGGGCCTCTTTTAGTTAGGATCTTTACTAACTAGCACAGTGCCTGATACACCATAAATATTAGATAAATTAATGAATAATAGGCATGTTTTATAGTATATAACCTTTAACAACTTACTATGCAACTTCACATCACTTTATTTAATCCTCACAAAAATGAAATTAAGTCAGTAATAAATATAAAAAAAATAAGAAGTCCCCATTGCATTGGACATTTAAAAATACTTCAAATACTTGATTATTTAATAAAAGAAATTAAAAAATGGAAATTAAAAAACATGAAAGTGAACAATAATGAAAATATTGCATATTAAAACATGCAGTATTGAAAGTAGGATGAACCTAATAAAGACTAGGCTTACTGGTCTGAAAGATGCTGGTGAGACCCTAGAGATCACAGTCCCTAGTCATGCTTCAGGCCTGGAATCCTGTGGTTTCCACCCAAAATATAGTCAGGCATATAGGATGAACATTTATACCAGGTAGCTACACTCCTTAGAACAATCAACCATGGGACATCAGAAGGGCACCATTTGCACAAGGGTATAGAGCAGAGGGCAGGAATGCATAGGAAAGAAGAACACAGGGAAAAGATAATAACAGGGAGGAAGTGGGAAGAGACCTGTTAAGTTATGGGGATTGCAATCGATGTCATGAAACAAAATGTGTATGAACTATTGTATGGAATGAATTTTCTCTGAAAACTTTCACCAAAATCACAATTAAAAAAAAAAAGTTGGATGCAGCAAAAGCTGGGAAGAAAAGGCTATTTATAGTCATATATCCTTACAATAAAAAGAAGAAAAGTTCTAAGTTAGACACAGCTACAAGGTAAATATCAAACTTAAGAAGGCAACAATAAGGATATAGACAGAAACCAATTAAATAGAAAATCAAAATACAATATAAAGGATCAACGAAGCCAAAAGTTAGTTCTTTGAAAACATCTATGAAATTATTAAATATTTTATTAAATTGTAAATATGAGAGAAAGACAAAGAATCAATATTAGGAAAGAAAAAGGAAACAAAACTTCAACAATGATTAAAATTAACAATACCATGAAAACTTTATGCCACCTGTGAGGGTTGGGCAAGGAGAGTATATGTGAACTCTCTCTCTGTACTTTTTGCTCAATTTTTTTCCGTAATCCTAAAACTACTAAAAAAAATGAAGGCTATTATTATTTTTTTAATAGGACATAAATATTCTTTGTTAATTTTTTTTAAAAAAAAACTTTATACCAATTGATTTGAAAACTGAAAAAATTACAAATTCCTAGAAAAATATGTTAACAAAACCAACTCAAGAATAAAAGTCCAGGTAGGATATTGTCAATAGAATAAATTAAAACAGTAGTTTACACATGTTCTGACAAAGGAGCCACCAAGCTTAGATTGGTTCCGTTAGTCATTTATCAGGAGATCTGGTGGTGCAGTGCCTATGCATTTGACTGCTAACCAGAAGGCTGAAGGGTCACTGTGAGTCAGATCCAACTTGTGGGCAGAGTTTTTTTAGTCATTTATCTGTCTCTGGTAGCGTAGTGCCTAAGGCACTTGACTGCTAACCAGAAGGCTGGCGGTTCAAACCCACCAGCCACTCCTCGGAAGGACGATGAGGCAATCTACTTCTGTAGTGATACTGCCTCGGAAACCCAAGGAGGGGTCGCTATGAGTCGAGTCCTACTCGGTGGCATATAACAACAACAACAACACACTAATACTAAGGAGCCCTGGTGACATATTTGTTAAAGTGATCTGTTACTAAACAAAAGGTTGTTGCTGTTGTTATTTCCCATCAAGTTGGCACGACTCATAGCAACCCTTCCTTGGGTTTCCGAGGTGGTATCACTATGGAAGCAGATTGCCCAACCTTCGTTTTGAGGAGTGGCTGGTAGGTTTGAACCACAAGCCTTCTGGTTAGCCATCCAGTGCCTTAGGCACTATGCTACCAGAGCTCCTAAACAAAAGGTTGGTGGTTAGAATCCACCAGCCACTCCACAGTACAAAGATGGGGCAGTCTCCTTCTGTAAAGATTACAGGCTTGGAAAACCTATGGAGCAGTTCTACTCTGTCATACAGGTTTGCTATGAGTCTGAATTGACTTGATGGCAATGGATTTTTAATAGTCCTGATACTAGATAATCTTAATTATTAAAGCTTTATAATGTCTTGATATCTGGCACAGTATGTTTTCTCCTCTTATTCTTCTCCAACAACTTTGCTCTTGCACGAAAATAATGGAACCAATTTGTCAAGTTCCATGAGGCATCTTTTGGCATTTGAATTGAAACTGCCTTGTATCTATAAATTCATATTTTACTATATTGAGTTTTTATCTCTATGAATGTAGAATATCATTTGCTATTTAGGTCTCATTGAATATTCTCAAATAAATCTTACTATGTTTTACATACACATTTAATTTAATCATTAGCACTGGGCCTACCAGTAATAAAACAAAACAATAATCACCAAAAAAGTACAAGGTTTATCATAATGGACAAAATTCATGAGCTGATGAAATTTTTGCGATAAGATTTCTCCAGCAGCTGGAAATTCTTATATAATATTTACCTTTAAAAATAAAAACAGTATCCTTGTTATTAACTTCATATGCAGCATCTAACTGCGATGGAAGTGATGGCCAAAATGTAGAAATTAAATGAAATTCAGGTTTGGGGTTCCAAGGGGTTCTGCGCCAAAAGTATCTGTAATATATAAAAATTAATTGAAAATGTCTCTCTCCTTTAGATATTCGGGGAGCAGGGATGAACACATTCTTCTCTTGTTTTCTATAAATGCTAATTTATCCCTTTGCTTAAGTCTTTATTAGATTCTCCTCTTTCATATTGTTCCAGATTTATGGAATTGATGGCAGGAAATATTTTAACAATGTGATTATTTAGCTTGGTTTAAGTTCTAAAAGCTTATAACATATGTGTATATAATACACTCATTCATATACTTTAAAAAAGATGCAGAAAAATATAGATCTACTTTTATTTATATTTGTATGTGAGCAGAACATTTCTAGAAAAATACAAAGGAAATTGGTAGTCATGGTTGCACATATGAGGAGACGGTGGACTGTAGGTTAGCTAAGGGAAGGAGATTCGTCTTTTAACTATGTATTTTTTGTAGCTGTTATAATGTTTTGTCATAAGCATATATCATTTTTTCTAAAATTAAGTAATTAAAATAGCATTTATTAGTAAAGGTAAAGATACCACTCTGGTTCTTAAGATCCATCACTGCTTTTTCAAGAAATTCATGATCAATAATATATGAATCAACATTACTCATCTATTCAAAATATTCATTACATGTGCCAGGCCTATTCCAGGCTCTAGGAATATAACAGTGAACCAAATAGATAACACTTCCCATCTTCGTGGAATTTACATGAAACAGTGTCCAAGAATCATTCTTGGTAAGTCTGTGAAAAAAAAAAAAAGGTCTCTACAACTTTAAGGAGATGTTAAAAATGTAAGAACTGGGTTGAATGATTTCAAAACTTAGAGATAACAGTTCATTTAAAATATCTGTCAAGTTTTTTTTTTTTTTCCCTTTCTCATTACTATAGTTCAAAAACATAGAGAGGAAAAAATAATTTTCCAGTCTCACCTGTCTTTAAAGAACAGAACTTCTCCCCTCAAAGTGCTGACTGCATCGAAGGACAAGGCAGGGTCACACATGTCTGGTGTCTCAGGTGTTGGAAGGATGGGTTCTGTGGGCACCACAGGTTCATCAGTGGAGGCAGGGGGAGGACCTAAGGGAACAGATGCAGGGATGTAAACCTTAGGGGAAATCCGATGCTCCATATATAACTATGCTTTCCAAGTATCCCCAAAGTTCTTTGAATTGAAATCTCAAGAAGCATTTTCAAGTTTCCTGAAGACCATCATTATAAAGTTTTCCTGCAGAGCTACAATGCCTAATTTTCCCAGTGTCACTCACCGTACAGAGACTGAATGCCATTCACATCATCTTGAGAAAGTTGGAATCGAGTTAGGTCTGTGGGTGGCTTGTAGAGTGAGTACATCAAAGCTTCAGGGTTGTCCGAATGAAAAAGTCCCAAGGAATGGCCAAGTTCATGAGCAGCAACAAAGAATAAATTTGTTCCTATTTAAAAGAACCATAAGTGTTCAGAATCTGACAGCTATTTATTCCACAAATACCTATACAGAACACATGCTAGCTATCCAGGCCATCCTTGGAATCACAGTATCTTTTCCTTAATTGAGGGTTGATTCATTGATTGGCATATTCCATACTTTATAGAAATCTATGTCCCAATATCGACCAGTCTAGTAAGCCAGTTTTTTGGTTTGTTTACTTGTTTTAGGAATTTGGGGTTTGGTTCCACATTTTTCCTCCCATTCAATCATGGTCCACCTATTGAGGCCCTGATTAGAATGGTTAGTAGTGGTAGCCAAGCGCCTAGTTCTTCTGCTCTCAGGGAAGATGGGGCTGTGGTTTGTGTAAACTATTTGTTTTGTAGACTAGTTTCTTCTTGAGTCTTTTGTTTTTTCTTTTGCTCCAGATGCATACAGACCAACAGTTGTATCTTCAGTAGCCACTCTCAAGCCTTTAAGATCACAGATCCTTCCTTAAACTCTTAAGCTACAAAGCTCCTGTTATTTCCCATAGAGATTTAGCGAGTTGTTCTTTCTCCTCTTTATTATAACCCACTGCTGTCGAGTCAGACCCGACTCATGGCAACCCCTCCTTGGATTTCCAAGGCAGTATCACTACGAAAGTAGATTGCCCAACCTTCCTTTTTTGATAGTCAAAAGCCTTCCCTGTAGTATGGGCAAATGAATGTGCACTATCTTCAATTTAAAACAGAAACATACCCCATGACTGTTTTCTGAAACATAAACATACCACATATTATAAAAAGAGTTTTATTGAAATTAGTAGTAGACATTATTTAGCAAAGGACCTAACCAATTATGCCAAAAAAAAAGTTGTTCAGATAAAAGTAGATCATTTCATGCAGCACAAACCTCAAGTTTATATTCTCAATAAAGACAATGATTAAAAATCCCAATCAATTTCAGAAATAGCAATTGTTTCAGCAGAGTGTTTCCAAACTTTAGAAGCCATTTGAATATATATGTATACAATAACATGCAGTTGATTTTAGTCACTCTGTTTAGACTTACTAAAGTCCTTCAGAGTTAGTTTAGGGGGAAAAAAGCTCCTGATATAGAGAAAGTGACTTAGTTATGGAAATAAACTTGAATGGTGCTTATTATATTGTGCTTGGTGAGAAAAGGAAAAAACTGCAGACATTTTATAAAGTTTTTCATAAAGATTGAAACAAAAAGTGCTTCTGGTTACAAGTCAGATAATCAGAAATTTTAGTTACTTAAGACATTCTATTTACTGCTCATTCTGGATAATCAAATTCTGCTTGAATAGGGCTAACCATTACTATTCTCATCCTGAGAGATTTGTAACCCACCTGATATATCTTCCGTCCATTTTTCATCATCATCAAAGTGAACATCTCCATACAACCCAGGCCCAGGTTCATAGGCATGAGCCACAACTTTTCCAGGTCCATCAAAAGGGAAAAAGTCTCTATGTTCTAACAGGAAAAACATTTTTTTTTTTTTTTTTAGGATTTTTATTTTTTTTTAATTCCAATAAGACAACATAAGATAGATAAATAGTTATATTTTATGTTTTTTTTTTAATTACTATTATTACTTTTTACCTCTAACTGCAAAAGAGATCATTATGTCAGCCTCTTCTTCATAAATCCTGGAGAATGTGAGAGGAGTCACCTCCTCCCAGACTTTCAGAGCTTTCTCAATGGCAGAATCAACAGCATCTCTTGGCAGATCTAGTGTATAATTCACAATTCTGCAAAAGAAAAATAGAAGATAACATTTTCTCCTGTGACCGTAATGTATAAAGTTTTAGTCTTATATGTAGACCCCACTACCTGTAAGTAAGGTGAGTTTTTCCCCACTTCGGTGAGCCAGGAAAGGTAGTGAAGTGACCCACGTCAGGGACTCCACATCTGGGCTTGCGCATCACCTCCAGGGTGTCAGAGTTCAGTTTCCCTGTCACCTCCAACCTAAAGAACTTCTGCATTTCTTGGATTTTTTTAACAACAGGGCTGTTGTCCTTTCTTCTCACAAACCGTTTCACATCTTTTGAAAGGTTGAAGTAGTTTTCTAGGTATTGCTAATGAGATAATAAGCATAGATTTTAGGCAATTTTTACAGTTGTTTTTACACTTGCACATATTTCACAATCTTCTTTCATTGTTCTCATTTATTGAAACAAAAGTAAGTAATACACTTAATCCTATTTTTCATTAAGATAGCCCATTTAATTATTTTTTATCTTTGTGCTAAATTTTAATTATCATTACAATTTAATTTGCTAGCCAATAAGGAATTTGAAGTTGAAGATTTAGGCCCAGCATGTTTATAGAAAAGAAACGTAATTAATTGTATGAATACTTAGAGTGAATGTGTCATTTTCCACTTTACACTGTTAATATAAACCTGGTCAAGACTGAATGAGACAAATCTATTGTCCAAGCATGGCAAGGAACAATATAACCATTATAACTTGATATTATTCAAAGATCAAAATTAACATCCTTTCCACACCCTGCAATTATATGTACTTAAAAAACATTCTAAAGTCAGAGAAGTCTTATAAGCTTTTCATTTATTCTTTTCATTTACTGCCTAAGTTGGCTCTACTATTTTATTTTGTGACCTTTAGAAATTATCTCGTCTTCCTGGGACCTTTTTTTTTCTCTTCTTTGTTAAAATGACGGAAACTTCCACTTTTAATATGCTCTGATTCTAAATTATCCCAATACAATAATTTCTAACCAAATCATTCTGTTTTGTGTAGGAAGACCAAGTAAACCCATTCATTTCTCTTTTGGGGCTAGCCAGGGCTGTCATGGCTTCCATCATTACCATTAATTACCTGGACAAGATCCATGTTTGAGTTGTCCTTCACTGCCCCATCCAGTGGATAAGCCAAGCAAACTGGCAGACATAACAGCACAAGAATGACAAGATGCCGCATTCTCATTGTCTTCACCAAAGGAAAACACCTTCTCTGCCTGCTGGCTTCTCTCTCTACCTGCTAGTGGCTGGACTTATATAGAATGACAATGCTTAGATCATCATGTGTATTTGGTGACTCATGTGTGTGTGTGCTTTCGTTTTATCTGAATGACACCAGGAATTTTCACCCAAATTCAACCTAAAGATGATCTAGACTTCATGAGTAGTTTCCCTTGACCTCTTAAATTTACACAAGAGAATGATTAATATCCAGGAAATGGCTTTTGTATTTAGCAAGAGGAAAAAGAATTACCTTGATAATTCATATTTGTGTGTGTTATTGAGAGGGAGTTGACAAGACTGATAAAAAGTCAAAAGTTCAGACCTTACCTGGTACAACAGAGGAAAAGGCAGAGTTAGAAACAAGAGGAGGATATGGAATGTCTGGCTAATTGTCTCCTTGAATAATTGCCTCCTTTTCTGTGAGACAAAAACTGAATGATGCCCAACTACCATTACTGAATATTTTGATCAAAGATTCTATAGAAGAATCCTGATTAATTGAAGGAAAATGTGAAATAGAAATTCAAATTTTCATGTACTCTAGACATGCTAGAGCCATGGAGGGTGGATAATCCCTTAAAATTAAATTAATTCTAGCATATTTGAAATATGTAATTTCATAGTAATGGGAGATTGAATTTATGAGTGTGTAGGAACGAGCCCCTCAGCACTACCCACTACCTCCACCCTACTTTATGTTGACTGAACAAGATGAAACCTTCAGGAACCTGGAGACTCTGACACCTTACCCCAGATTTGGAAAGAAACTTGAATGGGCACTGATCCAGACATGCCAACCTATGGTCCAGGATTTGCTCTACAGTGTGGTGCAGTGGAAGGGACCTCTACATGAAAATCAGAGAGAGGGGCCTTACAACTAGACTCAAAGTCAATCGGATGGCTTTAAGCAAGTATGCAATTTCTGAAGGTCATTGTTCTCCTATCTGTAAAATTGGGGTGGACATATCCTCACAGAATTATCAGAATTACATGAAATGTTACATGTAATTTCCCTTGCTCAATAAGTATTCCATAAATGTTAGTCCTTTTACCTCTATGTGGATTTTTTTTTTTACTTACTTTCTTTCTTCTCTCATATTTTTCTAGAAAAGATTTGAAGGATTGCACTCAGTATGTAACAAAGATGTAATAGATGATGGTATACCAAGGGTGTGTTGGGGAAGTCATCACACTGGGTAGAGACAATGAGAGACACCACCAGTCATAGACAATTTAAAACAATATTAAGGCCAATTAAAATTTTGTCTGCTTTTTTTTTTTTTTTCATTCATCATGCAGCTCCAATTCTAAAAAATGCCAGTGATAAAATACTCCTCTATAAAAGGAAGTGTTTTGTTGGTCTAACTTTTAAAATCTTGCTGTAGTTACAGTGGCCCTCTATCTCTAACACATACAAACTCAGTTACATGTATTTGTTTAGACAGAGAGTAAACTAAAGTGATTACCAGTATTTCAGCTTCAACTGGCATAGTTTTCAAATGACCAGTCAAGTCACTCTGTTTCACTGTTTAAATTTTTAAACCCCAAAACACCAACTGGTCAATAGAATGACAGAATTAACATGACTCAAGTTATGATTCTTTGCTTTTATAATTTTTGAATATCCCCACTTATTTCAAACCTAGTCTTTTGAAAGCTGGCATTGGAAGTTCCATTGGGGTTGGAGATATAAACTGCAAGCAAAGATAGCTTGAATTATTCTTAACTGTTAAAATTTTACTGAATGTTTCCCTAATTAACTTTCAAAAAGATTTCACTGTTTGTTGGAAGATAAGTAATTTTTTAAAAGTGCTAATTTAAGGCTTATTACTGAAAATAACTTAGTCTTTTAAAAAAATAGAGTAGGTGTTTAAAAAGAAGATCCCACATTCCTGATTTCAAATATATTAGGTACACCACTGATAACAGGTTATTTCAGGGAGTTGAAATTCTCTTAACTGGGAATATCTAAGCAGAGAACAGACTTCCACTAGAAAAGGATATGGCAAATTTAGTCATCAATTATTAGACAATGTAAAGATCACTTTCTACCTGTGATTGTTTTTTATGTTATTTTGTAATCTGATTGAAATAAGAGAGTGAGGGGATATTTGTATATCATGAGGTCAGGTGGTATTGGGAACTATGTTACTGTTAGTTGTTGTTGCTAGTTGCTGTGATTGAGTTGGTTCTGACTCATATATAACAGAATTGTTGCCCAGTCCTGCACCTTCTTCATAATTATTGGCATGCTTGAGTCCATCTTCCATCACTATATCAAACAATATGCTGTTATGGTCCATAGAGTTTTCATTGGTCTTTCTTCCTGGTCTGTTGTAGTCTGAATGTTCTGTTGACACCTGTCCACCATAAGTGACCCTGCTGCTTCTGAAATACTAGTAGCATAGCTTCTAGCAACATAACAAATGCAATCCACCACAGCATGATATACTGACAGATGGGTGGTGGATCAGGTACTATACTAAATTTAAATTCAAGGAAGGGGCAATGCACTCAGGAAAATAAAGCAGTGAAAGATAAAAGAAAAATTGGGGAGAGTAATGCCAATCTTTTCCAAACTACAGTTATCACTTAATGTATTTTCTCTGGGATTATGAATCCTTACAAAATATAAATGATAGTTTTGGAGGATGCCCAGTATATTTGCTCTCTCATCTGCTCCAAGACTGACTGGATAGACATTGATGGCAGAGATCAGAGAAAAGCATATTCAGACTCTGCTACATGTTTATAGACATACAGGAGATCTCAATGCTAAAATACATCAGAACTCAGATTTGAAATTATGTTCATGGAGAATATAAATCATTCACTTATCAAGTTTTTATTGAATATCAATAACACTATTATATAAGCTATAGAGACATAGCTCTACATTCAAAAAGCTTAGAGTCTAGTGGAGGAAATGTGATGCAAATGGTTAAGGACTGGACTACTAGCCAAAATGCTGACATATGAACCCACCCAGAGGTATCTCAGAAGACAGTCCTTGCCATCTGCTTCTGAAAGTTCACAGCCTTGAAAACCCTATGGAGCAGGTCTACTCTGCATACATGGGGTTTTCCATGAGTTGGAATTGACTGGATAGCAACTAACAACAGCTATAACATGAAGTATTAAGTGAAAAATTGCAGGTAAAATCAGGAAGAGAGGAGTTTACTCTAAAAATGCTACGTGACTAAGAGTGTATGTTTAAGGAAATGTAATTGATTTTTGTATGTTAAATTTGTATCCAGCAAGCTTGAAAATTCCTTTTTTGCTTACATTATTTTTTTAGTGTAATAATATTTTTTAACATATTTTTGCATGTAGATTTCTGCATAAGATGGCCTGTAACATGATAGGCTGCTAGCAACCTTGTAGAGAGCTAAGTTGCTCGGGTATCTGAGTCACAGGGCAGGCAGAAAGGAATGGGCTCTCTCCCTGTCTTCTTCCAGATGGCCAGATTTTGTTGCTGCATTTCTGAGAGTAAAGCCTGGCTTGGGAACCAAATCTTTCTCTCAGTCCAGCTGCATTATCCTTAAAATATGTAGATACTTCTTTTAAGACGTCATTAATCACCTGACCATTAGTCTTGATTTTCAATATTGTGATTATGAGGTTGTTTTTTTTTTTTTCTTCTCCAAACTATGTTTAGATATTTCAATGCAAGGCTTGGAAAATCTGCTGCATGATATCCCACCCAGGTTTTCTCTTAGATGGCAATCCTCCCATTAAGTAATAGGATAAGTGACAGCAATATAACTGTGCTTCTGGAAAATTTACCTGGCAGCAGATGAAAAGATGAATTGAAATGGCAATATATGGAGTGGAGGAGAGTTTATAATCATCCAGGACAGTGTAATGAGAGTTTGAAGGAGGCAGTGATGGTGAGAACAGGAAGGCAGAAGTGAGAAAGCAGAGTAATATTTGGAAAGTCCAGCAAAAGGATGGGATGAGGAAGGCATGATATGAGACTGAGTCTCGCATCAAAGTTAGTGGCTATTACCAATCTATAAATTGGCATATAAACAATTGTAATTGAGTCTATTCTGACTCACAATGACTCCATCTGTGTCAGAGCCGAACTGTGCTCCATAGGGTTTTCAATGGCTGATTTTTCAGAAGTAATCTCCAGGCTTTTCCTCCAGGTGCTTCTGGGTAAACTTCAACCTTTCAGTTAGCAGCCAAATGTGTTCACATTTGCACCACTCAGAGACTCCAAATTTGCATGTAAGAGAGAAGACTGGAATAACTAGCTGTCTGTAAAAGAAACAACCCAACCTTTTCTCTATGCTTTGCTGACAGGTCATGTCTTTGTCTCTGGAAAGTTGTTATTTATGTACTTGGCTTATGTGCTTCTCTAAAAGAAGAAGGCTCTGGGTATTCCCTTTGTTGGATAACCTCTTTTCTTGTTCTCCACATCATCTTTTGCTTAAACCTGGAAGTCATGTATGCTTTCTGCTGGGGAACAAATCTTACATTTTGCTCCAATATCTTTAACAGACAAAGCTTTTTGGCCTGGCAAATCTGTGGCAGTGCTCCTGGGCAGTGGTTTGTCAAATTCTGAGATGCCTCATCTTAATTTGAATCACAATTTTGTCAGTGTTGGCATACTCTGATAAGAGATCTTATTTTGGGGTAATTATACTATGAAAGTTAACTGTAGTGCTAGCTGCAATTATAGTTGGATAAATACCAAAGCACGTGCCTCACAGAAGTTATGCTGATGTACGAGATAATCCTGCATTAAACCACCACACCTGGGAAAAAAATTAATGACTTGGGGGCAAGCAGAGCTTTGTGTTTGTCTTTAAGTAATTTGTTACTTTAGAGATACCAGAACATGCATATGTTCAGGCAAGCAGATGTATAGAATGGTTCCTCAAAGAAAGGTGAAACTCAGGTATAGTAATTTTTCTTGTTGTCAAGTCAGCACCCAACACATGGTGACTC